AAACACACACTTTTCAGCTTACTTTGCACACGCAGTAACTTAACTCCCATTCAGCAGGAAAACCAATGCTATCAAAATAAAAGTTAACATAATTATACTGATAAAAATGCTTACTTAATCTTATTAACATTAAATATTTATTAAAACACTTTTATACTACTACTAACCATAATAATAACAACAATAATTACTATTTTAATTATTATTATTATTATTATTAATATGCCATTAAAATGCATACTGCTTTTTTCTGACCAGCGTCCCTTGGTGGCCCCAGGTAACGTCCTAATTATGTTGGTAGTTAATCTAACATGTAAGGCTTTCAGTCCAGCTCCTGAAGTCCCAACCAATGGGAGAGCTCGCTTGGCTGTATCTATCTAGATACCACAGAGAAAACAATCCTGATTGGACAATTTTCCGTTGAATGTTTCAGTGTATTCAACCCTTTTGTTTCCAAACAAAATTTAACAATGGAATAAGAGTATTACTACAACACTAACAGTTTAAACACCAAAGCATGACAGTTTCAACAAAACTAATTATTACAGATGTATTTTTAGCTCTCAGAAATCATAAGGAATCTGAAAGCCTAGCAAGCCCTGAATGATTCCCCAATATTATCATTAAAACATACTGAATAATGATCAGCCAAAAGACTTCAGAAGTAATATGTGCATAATGAAACGACATAATTTAATACATAAAAGCCAGAAAGAAAAATGCCAGATGAGGTTTGTATAGAGGGGAGTTTTTGATTGACAAGGCCAGAAACTGATATATCTGGAGGGGAAAATTATCCTGAGAGCAGGTAAGTAATTTTAGCATATTTATTATTTCAATACATTTAATACAGTTGCATGCAAAAGTCTGGGCGCCCCATTCAAATGATGTGTTGATATTTTTCTAAATGAGAATAAGTTAATACATCCTCCGCAGATCCACCTTTGATTTTGGACATTTTTCTGCACATTTCAGAGCACAGATTCTATTCATTTTTCTGTATAACATATTGGAAAAAAATAAAACATAAAATATTATATGTGCCGTAACTTTTGCACAGGCCATATTTTATATTTCATTATTTTCATAACATGTTAAATTCATCAAATAAACAGCAACTGTGCATTAAGATGTGCTCTCTGTAGAGGAACTTAGTTTCACTTAGAAAATCACCAACAATGTAGAATTTGACAAACTTTTTCATACAAAACTGTTATTTTAAGTTTATACAAAACTGTTATTTTAATGAAAATTTCTAATAAGCGTCGACAGACGTAAAAGGCGGCTTTAAAAAGAAAGAAAAAGGAAACAAATTTCACCTCATTTTCAACAATACAGAAATTCCACTGCTGCCTCCAAAATCTCTCATTAACACAATTTAAAAATACTCCAAACAACATCATGGCGTATTGTTAAATTCTGAAAGTTTCTCAGAGGTGCTCGGGCCTAGTTACAGTTGCTAAGCTGCGAGTGGACAGTCTGTATTTAGAGGTGGGGTTTAGTGAAAGGTGCACTCTGATTGGTTTGCTTCAGAAAGCACATCGTATTTTTTTGGATACTTAAAAAACTCAGTTCACCTAATGACACATTTGTGTAGAAGCAGTGGAGGAAAAACAGTATATTTTACACATTTTAAATGTACTGCAGTGAAGGTGAAGTGAAGGTGTTAATACTCTAATGAAGTACATTAACAGCGTATCCGTACTTTATTATCTGTTCATCTCCATAACAGCCTGAATGCCCGTTAGCTCTCACAGTCTGACCAACCACAGAAACACAGAACCCAGAGGCCGAGTTTCAAAAACCGACTCAGACATTCAAAACAAACGATTACTGTGGATTTTCAGGCGTCCGGCTGGTTCCTCTCCGTGCGCGCTGGTCTGCTGACCCTATGGTAAAGCAGGGAAACCCCTGTTGAAGAATAGCTGAAATCTTGCTGAACTGAGAAGTCCACTGAATAAGCAGAGTTAATCTGAGTTACAGTGACGGGAAGTCCAGCGACGCTGCAGGTCCGGCTGCTGGGCTCATTGGAGAAAACACACATAGATGTGGAACTGCGACTGTATTTTATTCCCCTTTCTCTGAAATAAGATAAGTCTGCCATCTGACTGAGTAATAACCCCGAAACCTGCCACAGTGAAATATTTTAACATATTTTAATATACGGAGAAGTGTGTGGGGGGGGGGGCCTGTGGGAGGCTTGTTAAAAGAAACTTAGCCGAGTTGCAAAAGCGCTATCTGTCCAATGCCAACCACCCACCAGGGTGTCCATGGACGACCTGACTCACAACAGAGTCAGCCCCAGGCTGCAGGTGGACCCTGTGAACCTGGTGGAATGGACCCAGATGACCTTCAAACCAGTCAAGTCCAGATACTAAGAAGAGGAAAGGTAGACGACAGGTTCCTCACTCATGTCACGCAGAGGCAGTCAGTCTAGGGCTGCACAATAAACCGTATTTTTATCGTTAAAATTAGGCCTGGTTAGTTGCATTTATTGCAGTGCAGTGTAATTTTAAAGAAGCACTGCTTTGTCTGTTCCAAATTATCAGATGTCAGAAAAACGCGTATCACCACATATCGTGTATCATGAAAGCTTCCTGAAACGTTGTGACACTGCATTTTTTTGCCATATTGCCCAACTGTACTTTGAATGATTGTTGACTTACACCATAACAGTTATCAACAGCCTCTTTTTACTGAATTATCATCATATTTATTGTGATTGCTCACATTTTTATAATTCAAATCAAGCTAAGAAATTTAGTGACACAATGGAAAGAATACCGGCTTTGTATTTAGGCCTGTCACAATTATAGAATAATTCTTAGATTTCAGTCGTATTATGCTGCAACAAGCAGAATGTGAATGATGTGTGTGGTGTTGAGGCAAATAAATGTAAATAAAAGAAAGCAGTCAACACATTATTGACACATCAGGGGGATTATAATGAAAACAAAAATCAGTCCTGACTTCTAACTCGGTGCTCCATCATGTTTAGTACGATGGTTTTTTTTGGTGCCACAGTTAAAATGTTAAAAATAGTACACTTCGAAATATTACGACTTTGTTCACGAAATATTACGCCTTTTTTCTCAAAATATTACGCCTTTTTATCTCTAAATATTACACCTTTTTCCCCTAAATATTACACCTTTTTTCTCTAAATATCACGCTTTTTTTCTCCTAAATATTACGCCTTTTTCTCCTAAATATTACGCCTTTTTTTCTCCTAAATATTACACCTTTTTTCTCTAAATATTACACTTTTTTCTCTAAATATTACGCTTTTTTCTCCTAAATATTATGCCTTTTTATCTCTAAATATTACACCATTTTCTCTAAATATTATGCCTTTTTATCTCTAAATATTACACCTTTTTTCTCTAAATATTATGCCTTTTTTCCCCTAAATATTACACCTTTTTTCTCAAAATATTACAGCTTTTTTCTCTAAATATTACGGCTTTTTTCTCTGAGTATCACGACTTTATTCTCGAAATATTAAGCCTTTTTTCTCTAAATATTACGCTTTTTTCTCGAAGTCTACTATTTTTATTTTTATTAACAGTGGTCCTAAAACACCGTCGTGCTTTAGAGTGCAGCGCCGAGTAATGTTTGTTTATTAGTTAGCTGTGTAGCTAATACTAATGTTTTTAGCATGTGTGCTGTCAGAATGGGTCTTTGCTTATATGTTGAAGTAGGTGTTGCTCTGCTCGACTCTACAATCATTTACATGACAAATTACACGACAGTTGTGACCGTCCTAATTATAATTGTTAAAATATTAAACCTCTGTACTGAATATGTGAATTATTCCTGTTGACTTTCATGTTTTAACACTGACACATATGAGAAAACCCCCCAGCAGATACTGCAGTGACTGTCCTTTGTTGGGGCTTCAGAGTGTTTTGAATGAACAGTTCCAAATACATGAATAAACGTAAAGGGCCACTCCAACCAAAATTAAAAATGTAAACATTGCCACGTCTGTGGTAAACTTGCTTTGTTTTCCTCCTACAGCGGCGTGGCAGCGGTCTCTGGGTGGTTGTTTTGGTTTAAAGACTAGGAAGCCCACCTTCTGATGATGTATCTTGAAGGTGGAAGTTCATTTTGAAAGACTAAGTGCTTCAGAGTGAATATTTGGGGCTGTTTGAATATTTTTACCGCTCTGCTCGCTAAAAAAATTCCCAAATCATACAAAACTTAGTTCCATTTAGTGCTACAGTATATTACTACTGCTAGCCAGCACCACATTTATTAGTATACTCATAGACATGAGCGGCTAGGCTAGCAGTCAGGAATGTAATGCATGCTGGGAATTGTAGTGAAAGACTGATGGATAAACATGAAGACGAAACTAAATAGTATGAAAGTGATTAGACATATAATGCTACGCTAGAGAATCCTACTACTACATAACAAGAATAATAACATATTAAATGCTAACTTTAGACCAGAATGCCCCTTTAAATAGTATGTTTTCTTCATATAAATGTTCTTTCTGTTTGGTTAGCGTTTAAAATTCAATATATATTAACACCATTTAAGGTGGAACGAGACAATTCGACAGAGAAGCTGGCGAGTAGGAAGCCAACTTACTGCTAGCGCAAAACAACCTCTAAAATCAACACCACAGACCATACAGTGCTTTATATAAGCTACTAAATGAACTGAAAAGACCGTAACATCCCGGTTTAGTCTTCCCTGAGCTCAACCGCAGATAGAAGAGCAGCAAAAACAGGTTGCGCTGGAAAAACGCAGCCGTTGTGTAGCGCTGATCTACAAATCATACCCGCGTCACATCTGCACACGCAATGATTTACACATCAGCGATTCAGCCTGAACTACACTGTTTAAACAAACAGCCGGACACTGGTCTGTCTACAAAACACCAACTGTGACAACATCCACAGAATCTAACCTACCTGGCGGACCCACAGCCATGTTAAAGGGTTAAAATGTGCTCCTCGAACAGGTAAAAACAATAAAATCTGACTCACCTAGCGTTAAGTGAGCTAAATCATCTTCCGGTTTCAGCCTCTTGGCGGAGGCGGCTACTCGCAGTGCGGCTCCATGTTCAGGGACAAAAACGCTTCACGGGTTTTTAACAGAAAAGAAAAACAGCCGGTCTGAACGCAAACAGCGAGTAAATAAGTCTGATCTCTGCGCAGTAACTCAGTCTGATTGTTTCACTCGGCTTGGGTGAAGTCTGACTCACAGTCTCGCGAGAGTTGCAGCGCCAGACGAGAGTTTGTCCCTGTTTTGAAGCGTTTTTATTTTTTTGTCAGTCGGCGACGCAATCAGACCCCTGAAAGACCACCGTGATGAGCAGAACAGCAGCCAAGTGTCCACCTAAAATAAAAATCCAGCACCGGTTTTACTCGTAAGTGAACTGCCGTTACATTATTTTGCATTTTGCGATGCTATGATATTGTTTTAAAATACTAGTTAATTATTTGAGATGCTAAGTCACTATTTTGTGAAACATTCTCATTATTTTGAAAACATTCTTCTTATTCTAAGAAACTTTCTCGTTGTTTTTATTTGTTTATATTTATACTTATTTATATTTTAAGCCCAATGCGTAAAGCATTTAAAAAAAGGCAAAGGTTTCTGTAAATAATGAGTTAGTATCTCTAGATAATTAGGTAGCATCTCAAAACAGTGACTTAGAATCTCAAAATAATGACTGGTGCTGGATTTATGTTTATTTTAAATGGTGGGAGTGGGCTTCCATTGGATACTATGTCATTATTTTGAGATACTAAGTCATTATTTTAAGATACTACCTCATTATTTTGAGATACTAAGTCATTCTCTTGAGATGCTACCTCATTATTGTGAGATACTAAGTCATTATTTTGAGATACTACCTGATTATTTTGAGATATTAAGTCATTATTTTGAGATACTACCTCATTATTTTGAGATATTAAGTCATTATTTTGAGATACTACCTCATTATTTTGAGATATTAAGTCATTATTGTAAACTGTATCCACTTATACTGTTTTGTGTCTGTGCTGTTATCCGGTGTCGACCAGAGGAGGGTGGGTTCCCCTTTTGAGTCTGGTTCCTCTCAAGGTTTCTTCCTCCTGTTGAGGGAGTGTTTCCTTGCCACTGTTGCCAAGGCTTGCTCACTGGGGGCGTGGACCCGGATTCTCTGTAAAGCTGCTTTGTGACAACATCTGTTGTAAAAAGCGCTATATAAATAAATTTGACTTGACTATTGTGAGATACTACCTCATTATGTTGAGATATTAAGTCATTATTGTGAGGTACTACCTCATTATTTTGAGATATTAAGTCACTATTTTGTGATACTACCTCATTATTTTGAGATATTAAGTCACTATTTTGAGATATTACCCCATTATTTTGAGATATTAAGTCATTATTTTGAGATACTATCTCTAATCGGTTCTCTGCATGGTCAAATTGTTCTTCAGATTGATCGAGAATGTGTTGTATATGGTTCTATATAGCACCAAACAGTGTTCTTCTGTAGTGACAATGTCAAGCTTGTAACAATAGCAGAACCCTTTTTGGTGCTACATAGAACCATCTCCATCAATCTGAAGAACCATTTCACCATTTGATCATGCACAGGGTTCTTTGGGGGTTTATGGTTCTATATAGAACCATTTTATTTACTAAAGAACCCTTGAAGAACCATGTTTTTAAAGAGTGCAGTGTTAGTTTAATATAATGGTTCCATATGTATGTTTAAATTGTAGTAGATTTGTTTATTTTGCCTGACTGCAACTATTGTTTTTGTTTTCTTTTCCTAAAGATGTTCTGAATAACAAGATACACCTTTATCTAATCACACGTCGTCCTGTTGCAATCCTCACTTCTTTTTCACACACTCATGTGACGAGGCCAGGCCTCTAAATCCCGAATTCAATATTTATACACAACTACTTCAAGAAAAAAATGAAAACAATCTTTGAGAAGTTACAATTAGTTTTTTCACTCCTTTTGATTAATGAGGTTCAGCCTCCTGAGTTTCAGCTCCCATCAGAGACGCTCACAGCTCACTGTCTGACCAGACAGAGCCTAAGGACAGACAGACAGACCTCTGCATACAGCGATCACTAGAGGGAGTTTAAAGCTCTGCTGCTGGTTTTTAAAGCTCTAAATGACCTTAAAGCTCCTGAATGTCTGTTTATGATCTCAGATCTGCAGATTCTGACCTTCTGAACTCCTTCAGTAAAACACAGAAAACGTGGAGAGACTCTTTCAGTTATTCTGCTTCTAAACTGTGGAGCTCAGTTCAGCTTTTATTAGACAGTCGAGCTCAGAGCTCACTTTTAATAAACATCTGAAAACGCAGCTCTTTAACTCAGAGCTTCAGTAAAACTCTACGGCTCTTTCGTCTTTATCTCTTTAATCTGATCTGAGTTATTGACTTATATGAGTTTAAATTAATACTTATAATATCTTGTATTACTGTTAAGCTTAATAAGTGATTTCATAATCAGTGTGGATTTGCTGGGTTTTACATTAAGTGAAAAAATATAATTGTTGCCATACGGCAACAGCCTGCAAGAGTCGACACAGAATCTGCAATGGGGTGAAAATTTCACAGCTTTTTTACATTTCTGTAAAAAAATGTAAAGTTCTGTAAGAAAATGTATGTTTTCTTTCACCTCTGGATGATGTCAGTTCATTCTTTTACTCCTTTTGTATGCACTGCAGATTGCAGTTCCATTAGTGTTTGCTGTTGCCATATGGCAACAAAATGCAAAGTACTCACCAAAGTATTTTTCAAAATGTTTAAATATTTCTAATAATTGACATTTCCAATAAGAACAACAATAAAAGCTTAATTTTATGTCTGTTTCACAATTAATCTAATTTAATTAACTAATCTAATTCTTGTGGTGAAGGGATTTAAGTATAAATACGGTTGTTGTTTTTTTTATTCTATATTTCTGGAAACCACAATAATTTTGGTCGCTGATATGAATGTTAGGACATTTTCATTATGTCTCACACTGTCCTTCAAAACTCAGGAAAACATTTTTCTTATTGGTGCATGAATGTTCTGTAAATGCAAATGTTCTGCCTTTTTGGGGTTTAGATGAAGTCCAGTATTTCACAATACGAGATTTCTCACAGTCAAACTTCACGAACTTCATTTCATCTCATTTTGTAAGATATAACTTGTGATTTTGGAACATATGAAATGCTTACACAACCTGAAGAGCAGCTGATGGTTTCAAATGATGTGAAAATGCAGAACTAAGAGGTACAGTTATCTGTCTACCACTGTGAGGCTTTATTACAGGAATTACAATATATTTCTCACATCATGCTTCTCCATCATAACCCACTGTGCATTAAGGCCTCTTACAACACGTTGTTGGAGAATTTCTTCTCTTCCGGTGTTCTTGGCTGATTAAAGGCTGTAAAGGACCTGAAGGAGGACACTCTACACTGTACCAAAATGGTTTATCAGTTCAACCTAAAAAGACTTTTTGTAGTAAGATGTTATTTAACTGGTTTAACACAGCAGTGATTAAAACAAAAGCGCAGACTATTTCATCATTTCATGGACTTGGTCGTGCACCATGAAGCCGTTTGAGATGTGGTCTTGGTGAATGGCAGCAAAAACTAGTCAAAATCCTGACTGTCTTTAAAGGGGCATTCCAAGGTGCAAAATACTGGGGGTCCTGGGTGGTCCGGGACCTCCTAATTAACCTTTTGGACCCTCTAAATGTGTCACAATCAAAATTCTGGGGGTCCCTGAAAATACGCTGTCCTTGTTTATCTGCTTCCCAAACAATCAGCTTTTGTCTTTGGTGTTCTCAGTTAACTAGAGCTGCAGTACTGCTCTGCCTCAGGGTGGCGTTGTAGCAGACTGGTTCACCCAGTTGGTCCTTCATAGCCTAGAAACTGTAACTCTGCCCGGATTCCTCTACCCTTTACAATGAGCTGCAGCAGATCTGTAAATCTGAAAACTTGAAGATCTGAGTTAATGTGAGGAAGAGCGCAGAACCGCACTAGAACAGAGACTTTACAGGAGAAGTGATAAAACAGACATTTACTGACACTGGCTATGTTTACATGCAACGATTTTTGCCAATCCGATTGAATACAATCCGATTACAGATTTAGACTGAGGTGTTTATATGCACTCTATTCAACAATCTGATGGAAAATCTTCGTTTACATGCTCACTACAAGTAATCCGATGCAAAATGACGCGCATGCGTGGAGTAGCGCTTAGAGTAAACGTTACCATGACAGCGAACATCACGTGAAGTCCAGACCAGTTTCTGCTCCGCCATGTTGAGCGGTGTAAACTTTCGCCGTGACGCGACGCACATGCGCAGAACATACTTACACGTTCCGATTGGAATGTAATCGGATTCAGGCGTTTACATGGCTATTATTCTTCTATTTAACGGATTATTTAGAAGTTTACCCACCTCGTTTAATCGGATAGAAATTGTATTCCGAATGGCCTCAATCGGATTAGACTATTCCGATTAAGGTGTTTACATGGACGTATTCTATTCCGATTGAGCTATTAGTCGGATTATTAACGGATTATCAGGCTGCATGTAAACGTGGCTACTGAGGCATCAGCGCCGCTATGGAGAGAGAGTTAGCAGACAGACAACACGGGACCCCCGAATACCAGGGGGGGTTCACACAGTGGGGCATTCAGACCTAAAAGCATTTATTAGTAAAGCAGCTATTAGCATTAATATGTCATTTGTCTGTCTGTCAATATGTCTGTTCCCCCACCTTCCAAACACATCATCAGCAGGGGGCTCTCTCTGTCTTTAAAGGGAACCCTGACTGTTCCCCCACCTTCCAAACACATCATCAGCAGGGGGCTCTCTCTGTCTTTAAAGGGAACCCTGACTGTTCCCCCACCTTCCAAACACATCATCAGAAGGGGGCTCTCTCTGTCTTTAAAGGGAACCCTGACTGTTCCTCCACCTTCCAAACACATCATCAGCAGGGGGCTCTCTCTGTCTTTAAAGGGAACCCTGACTGTTCCCCCACCTTCCAAACACATCATCAGCAGGGGGCTCTCTCTGTCTTTAAAGGGAACCCTGTCTGTTCCCCCACCTTCCAAACACATCATCAGCAGGGGGCTCTCTTAGTCTTTAAAGAGAACCCTGACTGTTCCCCCACCTTCCAAACACTTCATCAGAAGGGGGCTCTCTCTGTCTTTAAAGAGAACCCTGACTGTTCCCCCACCTTCCAAACACA